GCGGAGAATGAACCCTTTAGTGCTACAACTGTTGACTTCAATCCCCTCGAGGGAGTTCAGGGTGGATTGAAGCACTCTGCTCCAGCAAAGTCTGGTGGCACAGGTCTTTAGAGAGTTAGATATTTTCAAGAACTGCTTTCATGATCTTAATCCTTGCATCTCTTCATATCTAGAAAAGCACTAAACCACTAAATGATGACATCAGCTCCTCACGACTGGCAGAAAACCTTTTGTTAAGTAAGCGCTTGACTGCACTGAACTCCCCCTTCACCAAAATCACATACTGACCTCCCCCCACTTTCTCTTTGGAGCAGTCTCTCAGAGCTATCTGAGGTGCTGTATCCTGGGCGGCTGTCCTCATTTTGCCCCAAATAAAACTTAATTCACATCTCTCAAATTGTGCATCTGTTTTAGCTGACAGTGTTCATTTTTCAAAGCAAAGAGCGACTAAGAAGATACGGGATTTCCTCATTAACTGTGATAGGCATATCCATTACTTTTTCTTTCCAAGACTCTTGTTCAAGACAGAAAAAAAAAAAAAAAATGAATTTCATAGCGTGGAAATCTCACAGAAGCACCTGAACCAGTGAACATCAGAGGTCATAGGGTACATGGAAAAATTCATTATCACTGCCAGGTATTTTGGCAATATTAGGAAAACCAAGATCTCAATCTATCAAAAAAAATGTCAGTTTTCTGCAAATTCCACCTCCTATATACCTCCCATGATGTGTAGCTTAATAGTCCATTTTTTTTTAGTACATATTTCTCATCAGTATAGAGGATTGTCTGTGCTACTTTAACTTCTGACAAGTTCTGGAATGCTGAGTTCATTCTATTAACAAGGACGTTTTCTTACTCTTGTTCTTCCTCTTCTAAAGAGCTGAATTGCATTCACATGTAAATTCATCACGGCATTTCCCTGACTTCCCTAAGATCCCAACACCGTACCACATCCCAATGGGAATCTCAGATACCAGTGCCTCCCCGTGTTCATCTCTCACAAAGTGAATGTATTCAACATTGAAAGTCAGTATTTCATGCTGAGAATTCATCATGCTCTATAGCCGGGATACAGACAATGGAGAAAAGGCTCTGGGACATCAGGGAGACGTAACCTGAACAGCTGGTTTTCACTATTTAAAAAAAAGGAAAAAATAAGGTGATAACAAGCATCCTAAGCAGAAAAATTAGCAGCAGAGAACTAAAGGTTTGCAGATTCTCAGTCCAGGTATTTCAGGAAGAACGGCAGACCACAGCCCTAGACCCAGGACAGGACACATACCCGAGAAGCTGCCATTTCCTCTTCTTCCTCCTGCTCTGCGTCTTCTCCGGGGATGTTACATCCCAAACTCACATCTGCATCTTGAGAAAATAACTTCAAAGGCATCCATGCAGCTGTTGAACCTGCAACTGCTGCAGGGAAAGAGAAGAAAAAGTTTTCCTGTTTCCCTCACCCTTTTCTGAGCTCCTTCTCGACTTTCTGTGTTCCCAATCTCTAGTGGGGAATCAAGACTAACCTGATAATGCTAATCACATCATGGTGCTCTACACTATTTGCAGATCCTGCGGGCTAGTTCTTCTCCTTCGTTTGCAGAGTTACAGAGGACACTTCATGAGAGACAAAGGACCCTGCCTCTGGGCTACCTGACCCAGCCTATGAGGGTTGTGAAAAAATGCAAGAGGACGACCCGCATTCAGAGCCCTGAGGGGAAACCTCACACCTGAGACCTCAGGAAGGGAGGATTTAGGGAGGGAAATTCTAGAAACAAAGGTCAACCTGATTCCCTGGGGAGGGGCTCTTTCTAGGATGGGTGTGGTGGTCCACAGCCCGCCTGTATCCTTGGGGGCTGGGAGGGGAGAGGTGAGTGAGTGGTGGGAATCACCTAGGGGTCTTGGGTCCCTGCCAGGCTTTACTTGCAGAATTCTTCCCAAAGATCTCCCCTGTCCTTAGTTTTTTCCACCCCCTCTGCAGCCTGGGGACACAGGTTTTCACACAATGATTTGCTTTGTGACGACCTCTCTGCAGGCGTGGTAACTCCAACTTCAGAGGCCAGGAGCCTGGAGGCATTTCCATCCCCGCTTTCTTGGAAAAGAAACTCTTGCAGGAAGGGGGACCCCTTCGAGGCCTGAAACTGGGCTCTAGTCTAACACTTGGAAATGAATTGTCCGAGGAGACACATGCTGACAAACCAAGAGATTTTATTGGGAAAGGGCACCCGGGTGCAGAGCAGGAGGGTAAGGGAACCCAGGAGAACTGATCTGCCTTGTGGCTCGCAGTCTTGGGTTTTATGGTGATGGGATTAGTTTCCGGGGGGTCTTTGGCCAATCGTTCTAATTCGGTCTTTCCTGGTGGCCCACGCATCACTCAGCCAAGATGGATGCTAGCAACAGGGATTTTGGGAAGTGGACGCAGGTGGACGGAAACGCGGTGTCTCCATGGGCAGGAGGCAAAAGAAAGATGCTCACCAGTGCTAAACAATAAGAAACGCAGAACAAACCTACAGTGATATATCACCGCAAGCCAGTCAGAATTACAATGAGAAAAAAGCCCACTAAGAATATCATAAACGCTGAAGGGGCTTGGAGATCAGGGAACCTCCTACATGGCTGGAGGGAAGGTAAGCTGGTGCAGTCACTTGGGAGGAATGTGTGGAAGTTCCTTAAAAATCATAACCTCCTGACAGTCAAGGAAATGAATTCCATGAAAAGTAGACAAAACAGATTAATTGACAAATTCACAAGTTTTATAGTTTTTAGTAAATCATCTGCAATTTTGAAATGACCAGTTTGATCTAGCATTTCTAAATTCTCTAAGTTAAATGTGTAAGAATACACATACACTCACATATTCCTTCTTGGGTTTCTCACTGTTAACATGTTTACCTTCAGATATTTATATCTTATATTCAACGTGTGTTATATAAATCATATTATGTATATATCTTCAGATATTTATATATTACATTCAAAGTATGCCAAAGCCATGAGAAAACAGTTCCTTTAAGCCTTACAAGACACGTGTGTGAAGAATTATACAGGGTAAGATTTTGTAAATCTTGGTTCAGAATTTTCCCATCATGGCTTTTGACTATTCTTTTTGTGACTTTGTTAAACTTACATTTGCTTAAATGAGCCCCTGAAAAGTTTTAGCTAACAGAAGAACAAAGGACAATTGCAGCAGGTGAGTTTATGATTCTAGGTCCTCAGAGAATTCAGAGCAAGCCCTGAGGGCCCCTGAGGAAGGTCAAGGCTAGAACCAGGCAGAGAAAATTCCAGTCCTTGGGGTTCAGACCTGACCCTGGGTGAAGTGCTGTGAGTCCCACAGGCTGAGTGTGGAGGGGTCCATTCTAAGAAAGACGAGCAGGATTCTGGTGAGCTCAGAGGGCATCACTGAAGGGGGGCCTGTGCAGTAGACCCTCGGGGTGGGGGGTTCAGCAAGACTGCTGGTCCCAAGGAAGGGGTCATCTGGTGCAGGTGCTCACAGGACTGGCTGGTGTGAGTTCAAGGACCTGCAGGCTGCCTGCTCTCCAGACAGACGCTGAGGCAGCAACAGCATGGAGCAGCTCAGGGGAGCTCTCAACAGTGCTCTGTATGATCCTTCTTATTAGAACCACCACGATGTCCAAGTAGATAAAAATGGGAGAGGAGATACAACGTAGAAATGGTGGGAAATATATGAAGTTATCAGAGGTTTAACGGCAGTAAGGAACTAATTTCTACAGATGCCATCCCCCGTGCTACAAATAATTTATCATTACGTTACCTTTCCTGCAACCTTAAATAGGTGGGAGAGTTTAATATTGGTGGTGCATTAACCCTTCATTCTTTCCAACAATTGTAACACGTAAAAACCATTTACTTTTATTAATCAAGACACATTAATTTTACACAGATGGAATAAAACCTTTTACAATTGTTGTTTGATCCTTGATTAAAATACACATTACAAGCTTCTAAAAACTTTCCTGTTTCTCTGATGAAATGATCACAGAATGTGATTTATATGGTTTACAAAATGGAGGCTAATTAAGTAAACATGGATGGACATTAATTATATTAATATGACTTTTCCAGAAAGAGTTTTCGATATTTACATCAGATAAAAGAGGTGTCCTTCCTTCAAGCCTGCCAGATAACATGCATGATTTCTCTCTGTTGCTGTTATAAAAATACCTTAGATATTCATGAACTATCCTTGTTTTATGCTTAAAAAGCAAGTGACATAATTATTGAAAACTTAGAGCAAACTTCTATCTTGCTTTGAATTATTCCCTGAACACTTACATCATGGTGACCACAGAGGTGTCTGACATCATTGACAAATACCTCCATTCAGAGGTTTAGTGTGTATATAACATGACTGTGTTCTTAATCTTATAAATTGGAGAATAAATGTAAATGATTCCCACTTAATATTGAAGGGCTTCTCTTATCATTGGGCAACAACCATCAAAAACATAAGTTCATGTCTACAGTAGAAACAAATCACAGCATGTGGTAATTTGAGAGTTGAATTACATTTGTTTTGGTTCCTTAATAATCTCAAATAATGTTAACATAAGCAAGGATACATTAATAATAATTATACCTCTGCAAATATCCACCCCTTCATCTTGTGATCCATACTAACATATCAATTTTGTATGTGTTTTACTTATGGAATACATGCTATAGTGTTTCTGCTTCGAGTAATTCAACAAAAGTGGTACTAATGAAATGCTTTCTAGTATGAATTCTCTGGTATTGAGTTACTTTTCATGTTTGATTAAGCAGTTTTCTACATTTTTTTATTTCATTCGGGTATCTGTTTTTTCAACACTAGTTTTTTCAAAATTGTATATTTAGGACCAAATTTTTTGTCACTGATTCATTTCTAGGTTTTCTCTGCAGTATGAATTCTCTGTGAGTGAGGTGATGGCTGTGATGAAATCCTTTGCCACATTCCTTACATTTCTAACATTTCTCTGCAGCATGAACTCTCTGATGCCCAGAAAGACCTGAACTCTGGGAAAAGGCTTTGCCACATGCTGTACATTTATAAGGTCTCTCCCCAGTATGGATTCGCTGATGTCGAGTAAGAAAATAATAACGGGTAAAGGCTTTGCCACATTCTGTACATTTATAATGTCTTTCCCCGGTATGTATTTGCTGATGTTGAGTTAAAGCTGAACTCTGCTTAAAAGCCTTGCCACATGCTGTACATTTATAAGGCCTCTCCCCAGTATGGATTCGCTGATGTCGAGTTAAAGTTGAAATCTCCTTAAAAGCTTTGCCACATGCTGTACATTTATAAGGTCTCTCTCCAGTATGGATTCGCTGATGTCCAATAAGAAAATAATAACGGGTAAAGGCTTTGCCACATTCTGTACATTTATAAGGTCTTTCCCCGGTATGGATTTGCTTATGTTGAGTTAAAGTTGAACTCTGCTTAAATGCCTTGCCACATTCTGTACATTTATAAGGTCTCTCCCCAGTATGGATTCGTTGATGTCGAGTAAGAAGTGAACAAATGATAAAGGTTTTGCCACATTCTATACATTTATAAGGTCTCTCTCCAGTATGGATTCGCTGATGTCGAGTAAGAACATAATAATGGATAAAGGCTTTGCCACATGCTGTACATTTATAAGGTCTCTCCCCAGCATGGATTTGCTGATGTTGAGTTAAAGTTGAAATCTCCTTAAAAGCTTTGCCACATTCTCTACATTTGTATGGTTTCTCCCCAGCATGGATTTGCAGATGTTCAGTTAAATATGAACTCTGATTAAAGGTTTGGCCACATGCTGTACATTTGAAAAGTTTCCTTCCTATATGAATTTTCCTAAGTCTGTTTAGACTTGGTGAGTTACTAAAGACTTTTCCACATGTAGTACACTGGCAATGTTTCCACTTACTCTGAATTATCTGCTGTTGAATAAGGTTTGAAGGCTGGTTAACAACTTTACCATAATCATAACAATTATAACTCTTCTCTCCAATATCCATACTCTTATAGGTATCAATAATAAGATTTGAGCTTTGCTGAAATATATTCCTACACTGATGACGTTTAGAATTGTTGTCTGAAAATTGATGTCCCTGTTGTTTCACGGGATATGAGTCTTGGTCAACATTATGCCCAGTTTCATTGCATGAAGAGCTTCTCATTCCATCATGTATACTTTTGTAACTATTGGGGGTAGAGCTCCTGCTTAAGGCATTCCTCATTTTGTTACACTTCGAAAGTTGTTCCACACTAATTATACCTCCATATGTATTGAACAATGATGGTTGAATAAGGTCTCTCCCATTATTATCAACATTACAGATTTTGGAACAAGGAGAAAATGGTTGTTGGTTGAAGGACAAGAAATCCTTGTTAAAGGATCCCTCAAATTGATTGTATTGGGAATTTTCCCCCTCATGTTTAAGTTTCTGGTTTTCAGACGTGTTTGAATGAATATTTAATAGACAGCTATGCTCAGAATATAGGTTTGAATGAGTATTTGCAGTAGAGACTAGATGACTTTCCAGATTTTCCACATTTCCCTTCAGAGAACATGCATGTTTCAAGAGATGGTGTGGGCCTTTGCTGACAAATATACATTTATCTGCAGATGTTGATGACTGAAACTGGTCATCTGAAATTGGTTTTTCCTTATTTGATTCACATCCTTGATTTCCTTTGGCGGTAATGTTTACTTTATGGGAAACTGTATCAACTTGGTTGTGTCCATCATAACATGCTCTCCGCTCTTTATATGGCCTCATAGATTTCCAGTCTTTGGTTAAATGTAAATTTCCAAGGTGAAATCTTTCATATATTCCTAGCTTTGCTGTTGGGAGTAAATCTTCTAAGCCTGGCTTTTGGGTCCTCAAACCCTGGGTGTTGTGGGAAGATACAGCTGAAAGATACCAAATAATAAGATATTCTACTGATTATTATTGGGGAATATAGTTTACAATTTACATAAAATTGGCATACACTTGGCTAGATGAAGCCTAAAACCAAGATAGAAGGAGTCAAGATGGCAGAGGGTTCGGAAGACGTGGAATTCATCTCTCTCCACAAAAGCATCAAGAATACATCTTGAAGTGGAAAAATTCTCAGAGAGCCCTGCGGAACACGGGCAGAGGAACTTGGACAACTGATAGGACAAGAAAGATTCCTGCTGAGCCAGGTAGGACAAGAGAGTGATGGAGGAAAGGGAAGAGGAAAAGAAGCCGGATGGGACCCGCAAAACCCTGGGGGGATCTGGAGAGAGGAGAGGTCTCCACATCCAGGGAAGCCCCTCACTGCAGGGACTTCAGTTGGGACAGAAGGGGAGCCTCGTTCTCTGTGGGAAGAGAACACGGCAACCAGCGTGCAGGACAGAGTGAGACCTGCACGCAGGGTACTGACCCCTGCCCTGCCCACCCAGCCTGAAAGGGTGTCCTCTGCTGCAGACAAGGCCTGGGTGCTGGAACATGGGTTTCGGAGAGCAGACCCAAGCAGAGGACTGTGGTTGGCAGTGAGGAGACATCCTGAGGGGACGGGAGGGAGGGAGGAGCTCTGCCAATGGGATGCTTGTGGAGGAAGTCTGAACCACCAGAGAAGCAGAGCGGCGTTGATGAGTGATGCCCGAAAGGAAGAACCTCCTTGCAGCCTCTCTGCCCCTCTGCCTGTTCCTGACTCTCCAGGCACTAGGCATGGCTCCCACCTAGGTGGGTGATTGCACGACCCCCACAGCTGCTACCTCCTCCCCAGCAGGGTAGACTCATGGGCTCCATCGGCACATTCAGGACACCCGCCTGTGGGTCGTCCTAATGTATAGGAGGTGCTGAAACCTTAGCTGAGCTCCAAGGCCCTGCCACTAAGTAAGAAAAGCTGAGATATCTCCTTGCATCTGTACAAACCATGGTCTTACACCTCACAACTGCCTTGGTAAACTCAGCCCCAACAAAACATCTGGAAGGAAATGGGCTCTGGCAGTCAAGACCAGTCTTGCTTTAGCAACTGTAGACTCTGTAGGCATGCACATGTGGCATTTGGGCCAGGTCACAGTCTACATTGCCCCCATAGCACTGCAGCAGATCCAGCTCCACAATGAATGTACACCTGGCATATGACTACAGTGGATCTCTGCTGGTGACCTGGTGAAAACAACATCTGAGAGACACCAGGGTCAAGTGCCAGCATACCCATGGTTCAGGTGGGGCCAAGATCAATGCCAACACAGGGTCACACGAGAGCTCACACAGCACATGAAAGATGACACGCAGAGCACTCTCAGAGGAGAACATCCCCAGAGGAGCAATACTCAGTGGCTTCCCTCCCAGTGGGTGTGCTCCAGTCCCACTAGATCAGAAGCACCACAGATCAGAGCAGAGCTCATTTCAGATCTGGGGCCTCTGTTCCACCAATCAGGAAGCATACCCCACCACAGACAGTGAGAGCTACAGAGGAGAGGCAAAGCTGCCCTCAAGATCCGGGCAGGCTCTGGTCACAGTAGTAACAATCAACCCCCTCTCAAGGGCAGAAGGGCACAAGTCTCTGGACCACCTCACCCCCCATGGAGCAGACACCACAGCAAGAGGAACTAGGATCTGCAGCCTGCAGAACAGAGACCACAATCACAGAACATTGTACAAGATGAGATGGCAAAGGAGTATGGTGCAGAGTAGAAGTCAAATAGAAACCTGCAGGAACAATGAAGCGAGAAGTTGAGCAGTGTACTGAGTAATTTTTGCTTTAAGTAATCAAACTTACAAACAAAACGTTTTCACAAATGCTAATGCCTACTAATTATTAACCCACTTACAACTCACGTTGTTATCTGAGCATGTTCTAATAGAGTCTAAAATAGTAATGATATTGACCTAGAACTAATCAGAAGTAGATGGCATAAACGATAAAGTCCTGGGATGTTTCATAACAAACAAGATAGATTTAGTATGGTAAGAGTTCTTAACAAATCAAATGAGAAGTGAGACTTGAAAAATATGGTGAGAAAACAGGGAACTCTACTCAATGCTCTGTGTTGACCTAGATGGGAAGGAAATACAATCAAGAAGGGAAATGTGTATATGTATCACTTATTCTTTCTGTACAGCAAAACTAACATAGCATTGTAAAATAGCATTATTGGAACAGAAAAATTTCTTCTTAAGATTTCTCTATATAATCTATAAGCTTAATAGTGAAGAACAATCAGAAAAGAGCACTGTGGGAAATGTTCTAAACTCCCACATTAACAATTTCTTTAAAAACTCTGTGAGTTAAATAAATATATTAAAGCATTTTAGCATTAATGAATTGGGACAAACATACTTAACACATTTAATGTTAGTTCATATAAAAAAAAGAGAAGGTGTAACATAAAATTCAGATTTGCATTTTCTCATTTTAGTGAGGTGTCTTATGTGAAGAAGGAATTCATAGGGCCTGGACTCCATCTCAGGCCTGTCTGTGCTGATCGTGCTCGGCCACCTCACCAGTGGACTCTGAACTCTCTGCTTAGTGCCTTTGGGAACGACAATGGAAGGATAAGACCCCCTCCGGACAGGGGAACCTTGAAGATCATATCCAGGTTACCTATCACCTAAGAGAGAACAGAAACTAGTCACCCCTGCCTCCGGACACTATCTATCAGAATGTAAGCACAGGTTATGGGTTATTAACTGGTTGGAATGTAACCGTGGGCTTATTGATTATTAACTGTTTGAACACATAACACGTGAATGATGGGGTTATGGTGATTGTATTTACCCTCCCTTTGTAAGCATCAAGGGATTGGGGTGGTGGGTTTGGACACGTACACATGGGGTATAAAAGATTTTCACAAATGCTGGTCAGCGCCCTTGGCTAAGAGGAGACACTGCCTTGGGCCGACTGGTGTAATAAACTGCACTATACTATCTGCATTGTCCTTCTGAGTGAGTTTGTTTCCTGGAAAGCATGGCTATAACAATGCAGTGAAGAAAGAATTTGATTATGAAATTTCTAAGGTCATATGTGTAGTTTCCAGTGGACTGGAAATTATATGGTAGAAAACAAAAAACATCTGTCCCCAGTATTCCTAGAAGTTTGGCAATTTTTTCACAGCTCCACCCACACACTTGTGACTAGGGACAGAATCAGCACTTTTAAAAGGGCTTAATATAGTTACTCAGAAATATGCACAGATTTTCTAAAACCTCCCCCAAATGGATGAATTATCAGGTCATGCAGGTTGTTCCGGGCCAAGACAAATATTTTGGTTCTAACTGTGAATGTGAAAAGTAACCACTGGAGAAAAATACCCAAATGATAAAAAGAATCAGGAATGGGTCAGGAGAGGATGCTCTATGACAGTGGCAGAAATAAACCTAGCCTAATCCAAAATCATCTCCACGGAAGGACATCTTCTCAAAGCACACCACAAAGTATGACTTCCTCCCCAATGCTTGTCCCTCTCACCCGAGTTATCTGCTTCATTCATAGACACATACTTGGGTATATGGCTGTCTCCATTCTCCTTACATCCCAGGGATCCTTCATTTGCTCCAGAAACGTGACCAGGTCTGGCTTAGAGACCACAAGACCTGTTCATCAGAAAAAGGAATATGTGTTCAGGTGAGAGAGAAGTCAAAGTAGAAAGTTCAAATAGCATTAAAAAGATGATTTCACCAAATAGTTTATTGGAAGCATCTTTAAAAGACAAATGCATCAAAATCAGATTCTGGTATTATTCTCAAGTACCACTAAGGCAAAAGCAGGTAGTGGAGTTCCGGTTTTAAGAGGAGAGTGGCACTATTTGATACCACAGAACTTACAGAATTACCACAAACCTAGAATGAAGAATATGCAGGTCAAGAAGCAACAGTTAGAATCGTACATGGAACAGTTGACTGGTTGCAGATTGGGAAAGGAGTACATCAAGGTTGTACATGGCCACCCTGCTTATTTAATTTCTATGCAGAGTACATCATGCGAAATGCTGGGCTGGATGAATCACAACCTGGAATCAAGATTACCAGGAGAGATACCAACAACCTCAGCTATACAGATGATATCACTCTAATGGCAGAAATTGAAGAGGAACTAAAAAGGCTCTTGATGGGGGTGAAAGAGGAGAGTGAGACAGCTGGCTTAAAACTCAACATTCAGGAAACTAAGATCACGGCATCCAGTCTCATCACTTTATGGCAGATAGATAGAGGAAAAGTGGAAACAGTGACAGATTTAATTTGGGGAGCGGGCAGGGGCTCCAAAATTACTGCAGATGGTGACTGCAGCCATGAAATTAAAAGATGCTTGCCAAAAAAAATAAAAATAAAAATAAAAGATGCTTGCCCTTTGGAGGAAAAGCTATGACAAAGACAGCATATTAAAAACCAGAGACATCACTTTGCCTACAAAGGTTCATATAGTGAAAGCTAGGTTTTTTTCAATAGTCATGTATGGATGTGATATTTGGAACATAAAGAAGGCTGAGCACCAAAGAACTGATGCCTTTGAACTGTGGTGCTGGAGAACACTCTTGAGAGTCCCTTGGTCAGCAAGGAGGTCACACCAGTCAATCCTAAAGAAATCAACCCTGAAGATTCATTGGAAGGACTGATGCTGAAGCTCTGATACTTCGGCCACCTGATGCAAAGAGCCAATTCATTGGAAAAGACCCTGATGCTGGGAAAGATTGAGGGCAGGAGAAGAGAGTGGCAGAAGATGAGATGGTTGAATAGCATTATTGACTCAGTGGATATGAATTTGAGCAAACTCTGGGAGTTAAAGAAGGCTAGGGAAGCCTGGCTTGCTGCATTCCCAGGGATTGCAAAGAGTTGGACATGACTTAGTGACTGAACAACAAGGAGGCAGGTTGCATCAAGAAAGAAGGTTACTTTCCCCTGGAAAGTAGGGATCTTACCCTCAACTGGACAAAGCAGAAAATTCCAGGAGACATTCTAGAATGAATGAACCAAAACCCTGAGGATACATAATGGATTCTGGAAGCAAGTTATCCTCACCCAAGCAGGCCAGATTCCCGTAGTTCTCTAACATCACGTCCCTGTACAATTCCTGCTGACCGAGGTCCAGGCATTCCCACTCCTCTTGAGTGAAATCCACGGTAACATCCTGGAATGTCAGCAGTCCCTGAAATATAAAGGACATGAGCCACGTGGACCTGGGAAGACTTCCTAATGTGACCCAAGATGAAACCAGCAAGAGAAATGGTTTTGATTTAGGAGAATATCTGGTGTTACACAAGAATATAATTTTTATACCTCCATATTTTCCACTGTATTTCTAACCCCAGGAAAAGAGAATGAGATATGATCCACAGACCACTATAGAAACTATTCTGATCTGGAAGACAAATTATAAAACAATCGCATCAACACTGACTTATCTATTTTTGAGAGTTGTACTCCTGTGACACAGGATAAAGTGTCTATCAAGGAAAGCATGTTAGTCACTCAGTCATGTCTGATTCATTCTGACCCCATGGACTGTAGCATGCCAGGCTTCTCTGTCCATGGGATTTTTCAGGCAAGAATACTGGAGTGAGTTGCCATTTCCTTCTCCAGGGGAATCTTCCCCGCCAAGGGATCAGACCCAGGTCTCCCACATGGCAGGCAGATTCTTCACCATCTCAGCCACCAGGGAAGCCCCCTATCAAGGAAACAGGAAATATTTTTGAAAAGCATGCTCTGATTTAAGAGTTCTGGAGTGGGGCCACTGTGCAGCATTTTAAACAAGCTTATTTTAACTAGTAATGTTGAAAATTCTGATACATGAATGACCATCCTGAATAGCAAAGCAGTAGACCACTAAGGTAAGAATTTATACTTAACTTTGAATTTTAAGTGTTTTACAAAACGGACAGGTCTAATAGAATAGTACCCATAGCAGCAATAATCATTTGAACTATTTAGTATATACTACATGTCTTCTAAAAATTTTTACAGGCTCTTGACTGCATCACATTAATATAAAATCAACATTGTTGTTCCACCGTTTTGGAAATATTTTGACAAACATTCATAAAATGACAGATCTTGAATTTGCTTCAGTTTATGTGAACTAAAATTTAACTGGTAAAACACAAATACACAGAGACAACACTAAAGAAAACGTATACGAGTTTTTCTAGCGTCTTCCCTGGTACTCTGAGCTCCCAAGTCAGGGGACTGGGTTCAGTCCCTTGTTAGAGAACTAGATCCCACACGCCACAGCTAAAGTTTGCCTGCTGCCACAAAGCCTCCCACATGCCTCCAAGATTCTGCAGGCTACAACGAAGACACAACTCAGTCAAACACAAATACGTGTATTTTTAAAAAGAGCTTTATATAACTGGGGAGAATACCAAAACAAGAATAAAAATTTTTTAACATTTTCATGCATACAGACATATTAAAATGAGACCATATACTTACTAAGAGTATTAAGGAAAAGCTAACATTCAGAAAACGAAGATGACAGCATCTGGTCCCATCACTTCATGGCAAATAGATTGGGAAACAGTGGCTGACTTTTTTTTTCAGGGCTCCAAAATCACTGCAGATGGTGACTGCAGCCACAAAATTAAAAGACGCTTACTCCTTGGAAGGAAAGTTATGACCAACCTAGACAGCATATTAAAAAGTAGAAACATTGCTCTGTGCACAAAGGTTCGTCTTGTCAAGGCTATGGTTTTTCCAGTAGTCATGTATGGGTGTAAGAGTTGGACTATAAAGAAATCTGAGCACAGAAGAATTGATACTTTTGAACTGTGGTGGTGGAGAAGCCTCTTGAGAGTCCCTTGGACTGCAAGGAGATGCAATCAGTCCATCCCAAAGGAAATCAGTCTGGATGTTCATTGGAAGGCCTGATGTTCAAGGTGAAACTCCAATACTTGGGCCATCTGATGCAAAAAACTGACTCATTTGAAAAGACCCTGATGTTGGGAAAGATTGAAGGCAGGAGAAGGGGACGACAGAGGATGAGATGGTTAGATGGCATCACTGACTCAGTGGACATGAGATTGGGTAAACTCTAGGAGTTGGTGATGGACAGGGAGACCTGGAGTGCTGTGGATCATGGGGTCTCAAAGAGTTCGACACACATGAGCGACTGAACAGAACTGATTCGTGTTCAGTTCAGTTCAGTTCAGCTGAGTTCATTCATATTCATGGCAATTAAATCGATATTCGTGTCAATAAAATCAGTTCATATTCAGTTCAGTTATTCATATTCACGTCAATAAAACCGAGATTGTTTTTAATGGGTTAAAATATATACATCTACTTGTAGATGATATTTTTTGTGTATTTTAAATACACTAGGGTGCAAACATATACAATGGTATAAGATAAATTAGAGCTCTTGGTTCCGAAACTTTAATTTCTTGAAAAACTGTATCATTTTGTAGAGCTGTATCTTAGAAATTCAACACAGGAGAAAACAAACTAGCACCAATATGATTGTTGCAAATATTTTGATAAAGAAATACAAAAATGTAAGAAGACTATGTCTGTGATATGAGCGTGGAGTGTACAGGAAACATCACACTTGGGCTTGAGTGATGAAAACTCCCACTCCCAAAACCCAGTATCTATCATCAATACAGTGACTGTTCATTTTCCAAAGCAAAGAGAAACCAAGAAGATGTGGAGTTTCTCCATTAACTGTGAGAGTTTTCACATGATCCTCATTCCATTTTTCCACAGTCTTGTCTAAAGACAGAGGGAAACAAAATGAACTTTATAGCCTGATAATCTCAGAGAAATCACCAGAGCCAGTGGACAACATCTGTCATGGTGTAAATGGATCACACGGAAGATGCACTATCAGAACCTGGGCATTTCAGAAAAAATAAGGAAATTATAACTTGAACCTAACATAAAAAAATATCAGTTTTATGCAACATTCATTTCATATCTACTTCCTCTGTTTTGTATCCTAACAATGTTGTCACGCGATTGTATGTTCCTCGGTTCTTTGTCTCGTCACAACAAAAATTTGGAGTGATGGACATTAAAGGCCCTTGGCGGGTCACGGCTATCGGAGGACAGACCGTGTTATAACTCTTAAATAAATCAGTGTTACAGCTCTATTTATTTAGATAATAGCCGGAAAATCCATCTCGAGTTGTGAGGACATGTCAATCCAAAGACACGAAGAGAAGATCGCCCCATCGCGCGGGAGAGAGAGAGAGAGAGAAAGAAGAAGGAAGAGGGCTTTGGCTCCTCTTTTTATCTGTTTCTCTGCCCCTGGGTCTGTCTTATGTCAATCGGGCCTAGGCAGGTGCGTTGTTTGTTTAACCTGAGGTTCTCACTCCAGTCCTCGGACCTTCCTTTGTTCTATTTTGGCGGGCTTTGCCTTCCAGGTCTTTTACCCACCGCCATTTTGGACTCTTTTCCCGTATTCTAACTACCTAAGAATGTGTTTAACTACTAAGCCTTAGCATTACAGAGGACAGTATCTCCTACTTTTCTTCTTATTTCTGAGCATTTTCTGAAAAATTCTGGATCACGGAGCTTATTCAATAAATAAGGGCATTTTCTAACTCCTAAAGAGCTGAAATTGCATCCCCATGTAAACTAATCATAGCATTTTTCCCCTAGTTCCCTAAGGCCCCAACACCGAACCACATCCCAATGGGAATCTCGGATACCAGTGCCTCTCCGTGTTTCTCTCTCACAAAGGGCATATATTCACCAGTTGAAAGTCGTTAATTCATGTTTAGAATTCACCATGCTCCGTAGAAAGCCAGGGTAGAGACAAAGGAGACAAGATTCTGGGACACAGGGAGAAGTGGTCTAAAGAGCCAGGCTTCACTATAAGAAGAAAAGGAAAAAATAAAGAAGTTGATAACAAACACCCAGGCAGAAAAGTTAGAGGCAGAGAACTAAAGGTTTGCAGGTTCGCAGTCCAGGCATTTCAGGAAGAAAAGCAGACACAGCCCCAGACCCAGGACAGGACACATACCTGAGAAGCTGCCATTTCCTCCTCTTCTTCCTCCTGCTCTGCGTCTTCTCCGGGGATGTTACATCCCAAACTCACATCTGCATCTTGAGAAAATACCTTCAAAGGCATCCATGCAGCTGTTTAACCTTCGACTGCTGCAGGGAAAGAGAAGAAAAAGTTTTCCTGTTTCCCTCACCCTTTTCTGACCTCCTTTTCGACTTTCTGTGTTCCCAATCTGTAGTGGGGAATCAAGACTAACCTGATAATGCTAATCACATCCCGGTGCTCTACACTATTTGCAGATCGTCTGGGCTAGTTCTTCTCCTTCCTTTTCGAGTTACAGAGAACAGTTCACGAGAGACAATGGACCCTCTTTCTGGGCTACCTGACCCAGCCTTTAGGGTTGTGAAAAAAATGCAAGAGGAAGACCCGCATTCAGAGCCCTGAGAGGAAACCTCACACCTGAGACCTCAGGAAGGGAGGGTTTAGGGAGGGAACTTCTAACAAAGAAGGTCAACCTCATTCCCTGGGGAGGGGCTCTTTCTAGGATGGGTGTGGTGATCCACGACCTGCCTGTACCATTGGGGGCTGGGAGGAGAGGGGTGCGTGTTCGGTGGGAATCACCTGGGGTCTTGGGTTCCTGCCAGGCTTTACTTGCAGAATTCTTCCCAAACATCTCCCCTGTCCTTAGTATTTTTCACCCCCCTCTGCAGCCTTGGGACACAGGTTTTCACAAAAGGATTTGCTTTGTGACCACTTCTCTGCAGGCGTGGCACCTCCAGCCTCACAGACCAGGAGCCTGGAGCCATTTCCATCCCCGCTTTCTTGGAAAAGAAACCAGGGGCAGCAGGAGGCCTGGCGAGCTGCAGTCCAGGGCGACTGAGCAACTGAACTGAACTGAACTGAGCAGGATACGCTAGGTTCACAGTGTGTATGGGCAGAGCCAAATGCCTCTGAAAACGATGCCCTAATTGCTATCTGATGACCAACCAAGGAAGTAATGATCGGTTTTGTCATAAGTTACAACACACATGAATTAACAACTGAGAATGAAGAAGGAATTCATAGGGCCTGGGCTTCATCTCAGGCCTGTCCGTGCTGATCGTGCTAGGCCGCCTCTCCAGTGGACTCTGAACTCTCTGCTTAGCGCCTGTGGGAACGACAGTGGAAGCATAAGACCCCCTCTGGACAGGGGAACCTTGGAG